TTATACGATTGTATTATAATTATAACTATTAATTTTCGAGCGTAGCATCAAATCATTTTATACTAAATTTGAATGTCCTATCAGTAAATCATTCAACCATTTCCAGTGAAATACCTCGTGTTATTGAATTGTCCTGGATGTTTACTAATTGCATAATTAGATAAATAATTAATTCACAAATTTGAGTCCTTTGTTTAACTTTATAACCTTAATTAGTTTACAGAATTTAAATTATTAGATAATTATTATTTATAGACATTATTTTCAGAAATTAATAAAAATTCTATTGAAATGTATATTTCATTCTAAAAGTATATGGTATATGAAATTGATATTAATTATCAATATTTGCATTAATTGCACTAATACTTTATTTCCTATTGAGTTTTCATTGAAGTTAATTTCCAAGAATTATTAATATTATTAATGTTTTATATTTATAATTTATTGTGCTTTTAATATGCTGTCAGTGAAAATCAAATATTTACTTTGTTTATTTAATCAATAGATTTTCAGTACAATTGAATGAACTTAAATTTCCTAGTATCAATTTCAGAAAACATTAATTCTTGGAAATTATCTAATAGTAATTATCTGACAATTTAAACCTGTAAGCGAATTAAAGTTATATAATTTGTTATAAAGTTAAACAAAAAATGCAAATATGTCCTTTGGTTATTTAACTAACTATGCAATAGCAATGCACTCACTCGAGAGATTTCACTGTAAATGGTTTATTTATTTAGTGATTGTGAATTTTAAAATGTATATAAAATGATTTGAAAACGACTCTCGGATTAATAGTTACAACTGTAATACAATCGTATTATTAATATAATATCAAACGCATAGCAATAATGCAAAAACAAATACTAGTCGTCATTAGTATCATCGGTTTGGTGGTCGGCCGAGACATTAACGGCGCCGGACTGGCACTCATCAAGGAAATGGAGGACTTCAGAGCCGACTTTTACTGGGACCAAATCGTACGATTGTTAACAGGATCATTTATAACTTAGATAACTAATTTTGTTACTGTTTTACATAGGGTCAAAAAACCATTGGCTACGGACATTGCTGTGTATACCACCCGTGCGATCAACTACACCCACCTCTAACTGAGCAACAGGGTAGTGAGCTCTTGCGAACTGATCTGGTTGAGTTTCAAAATTGTGTCGAAAATGCCGCCCCTGGACTTAATGACAACCAATTTGCTGCCGTAAGTATTATCTAGTATTCAAATTAACAAAAATATTTTCATAAAAAGAAAATTAGATTTGCGTAATCCATGTTAACACCTGAATCATACAAATTACTACTTACTACTAAATACATTAAAATAATGTCACATATTTGAAATTGTATACTTAGTTTTATTTATTAATTAGTTTAAAATTATTAATTAATGTAGTTTTATAAATTAAGTTAAAGCATAAGTATCATATCATCACATTTATACTATTATACATTTGTTACACAACTTGTTTTTTTGGCTACCAGTGCACGTCATTCGCCTTTAACATGGGCTGCGGTACGTTCACGGGGTCGCACGTGTTGTCCAGCATCAGGGCCCGGGATTTCAACGCCGCCGCCAACGCCTTCAATGAGTACGTCTCGATGGGCGGCCGTGTGATCGCCGGTCTCGTCGTGCGTCGCAAACGCGAGGAACAGTTGTTCAGATCGTAGATACCTGTGCAGCTCCAGTGTCACAGAAATATAAATGACCTGTACAACTTCAATTGCAATTGCTAAATAAAATATAATTTAGTTCATTAATTTTGTTTTGGATGTAATGTTTGAATTTAGTTTGTATTTTATTTGTGTTTTCGTGTATGAGATATGAAAATGTGATTTTCAGTACCTATAGCTATTAAACAAGTATTATTGATTAGTCTAGAGAACTTGTATTTTATTATATTTATTTTACCCAAGAACATATTGAATAAACTATGATTTTGCAAACAGCTATAATTGATTAGTTTGACATATGAAATGGTATGGAAAATTATAAATTGATTAAATATTAATTATAATAGCTTATAATTTATAATCGTTTGCAACGTATTTAACATTGCGTTGTATTTTTATTAGTGTTGAATGCATTAAAATT